AGAGCAATACTTTCAGTTAAATGAAATGGAGGGTGTCTCAATGGCCACGGTATGAGAAGTCCATAAGGCGTACATAAGAAGTATCCTGATTTACAAAGAGGCAGAAAAAAAATAAAAAATAGTTGGAAAAGATAAAAACATTAGCAGCGGAATTATATGAATTAGAACAATTACATAAAAAACAATAGAATCTGAAGTACAACAAAAGATAATATTAAAGAGAGAAGAACTAAGTCATTTAATGGAACAGGAAACAAACAGGGCTTTCAATATGGTGTCAAAAGAAAGATATCAATGGGGGAATAGATTGGAAAAATAATTGGCAAGGATGGTAAAGAAAAAGAAATCAGTAAATTTTATAGAGAAAATTAGAAATAAAACAGGAGAAATAGTTTATTCAACTAAAATAATTGCTAGTGTATTCCAAAAATATTATAGTTCCCTATATGCGGTTACATCTAAGAATCAAAAAAGAGCTGGAGGGAGATAGAAGTATAAGAATTCAGACATATTTAATAGCAGCTGCACTACCCAGATTAGAAGAAATATTGACAATGTTAGAAAGACCAATTTCACAAGAAGAAGTACAAGCAGCACTAAGGAGCCCAGGACCAGATGGATATACAGTGAGATATTATAGGAAATTTAAAGAACGATTAGTGCCGAAAATGTGTGTGTATATATACATATATATATATATATATATATATATATATATATATATATATATATATATATATATATATAACGCATTAGGAGAAGGAATGCAAATAAAGGAAAGAGTCATTGTTAGCACATATAACAATTATACCTAAAGAAGGCAAAAATTTGTCTTGATGTGCCAGCTATAGACCAATACCATTATTAAATATAGATCCGAAATTCTTCTCCATTCTTCCTCCATGCTCTGGGTCCTTGGTTTCCAAATGAGATGCAAAAGTTGCTCTCATCAGAAAAGAGGACTTTGGACCACTGAGCAACAGACCAGGTTTGTTTTTCTTTAGTCCAGGTAAGACACTTCTGACGTTGTTTGTTGTTCAGGAGCGGCTTGACAAGAGGAATACGACATTTGAAGCCCATGTCCAGGATCCGTCTGTGTGTGGTGGCTCTTGATGCACTGACTCCAGCCTCAGTCCACTCCTTGTGAAAAGTCCCCAACACTTTTGAATGGCTGTTCCTGACAATCTTCTCCAGGCTGTGGTCATCCCTGCTGCTTTTGCACCTTTTTCTTCCACACTTTTCCCTTCCACATAACTTTCTATTAATGTGCTTTGATACAGCACTTTGGGAACATCCAACTTCTTTTGCAATTACCTTTTAAGGCTTTCCCTCCTTATGGAGGGTGTCAATGATGGTTTTCTGCACAACTGTCAGGTCAGCAGTCTTTCCCATGATTGTGATTTCTACTGAACCAGACTGAGAGACCATTTAAAGGCTCAGGAACCCTTTGCAGGTGTTATGGCTTAATTAGCTGATTAGAGTGGGACACTGAACTGGTTCTCCCAGCGTATATGGGAAAATGGGAAAATGAGTTGAGAACGTAGTTGAATAAACAACAAAGAAGGAAAATATTTAGAATTGAACATGGGGCAGTTGACATCAATACAGTGGAGATGAATTATACATTCTTGACAAGATGGTATGTTATACCAAGTAGAGCCCATAATCAACACCCGGAGAATTCTTTGTATTGATGGAAGGGATGTGGGATGGAGGGTACAATAGCACATATATGGTGGGAATGTCCCATAATACAGGAATTTTGGCAGTAGATAGTACAACAAATAGTAGAGATCACGAGAGAGGGTATATTAAAAGACCTATGGGTGTGCTTATTCCATAATACTGATTTAACAGTGAAACAATATAAAAATACGATGATACCTCATTTAATCAACATGGGAAAAGGGTTGATCTCTACATTTTGGAAGGCCCAAGAGACCCCTAAGGGTAGAATACATATACAGGAAAGAAGAACTATATTACAGAGGAGAAGATAAAATGTGTAAATTTATGAAAATCTGGGAAAGATGATGTGAGTTCAAAACTACACAGAGATTTGTAGAACTGATGGAGTAGAAGAATAGGGAAAAAATATGAATGAGAAGTAGGGGGGTCATGTTGATATTTTGACAAGAGGATATAATGAAGTTAGAGGAGGAATGAAGGTGAGAGGGATAATTACTAGAAAAACAAGAAGGGAATGAAAAAAGGGAGGGTATGGGGGGGGGGGGGGTTTGGTGGAAAAATGTTAATAAATGTTTGATAATTATGTATTAATGTTATATTGGTCATGTACGGTATAATTAATAAAACCGTAATAATAAAAAAATGCACAAAGAAGCACTTACCTATTGAAAAGAATGGAAAACATATCTTAAAAGAGGCAAAAACACAGTTGCGTTTTGGTGCATTTTTTGAGTCACTTTTTTTTTTACAGGTGCAAAATGCATGGGAAATGCAGAAAAAAACACAGTAAAAATATTGCAAGAAATGCATATGCGTTTTTACTGCATTTTTGCAAGGAAGCATTGTGAAAGTATAAAGATTTGTAGAGGGAGCTACTCATCTTTCTGAATAATAATCTTTATTAGAATGAGTAAGATGTACAAAAAAGTGTCTTACGCATTTTGGCAATAAGCCTTAATCATAGCCAATGTGAAATAGCTTTAAGGAAGGATTGTGCTACTACTCTGAGATGTTTATTTCAGTCTTTTGTGTCAGAGCATATGCTGTGCAATCTAGTGGTCTAAATGTGCGTGATGGCTAAACTGGTTTGTTTGAGGTGGAAGCTGGAACTGTTTAGGGTTCCTCCAGATGTTGCTAGGCAAGAGTGAGGAACAATTACCCACAAAGATAAGTGGCCACTGAAACCAGTGATCTTCCCTCTCCTTGTCCATCACTGAGCTAGAGATGAAGTAATTTTTAGCAGGGGTTCCCTGAGACCAGAACATTATTTCAAGGGTTCCTCTAGTATAAAAAAGGTTGAGAAAGGCTGGTTTAGATAATTGCATAAGTCAGTGGTTTTTAAGTAGGTTGTTATCTCTGATGGACACTATGGTGTCTAGGAAGTTCACATATGTGCATAAATAGTCAATGTTTAGCATTATAATCACCTTATTTCAAGACCATCACTTGAGCTAATATCAAAACATTACTTCTGAGGCTACTCAATAACAGAAGAACATTTCACTCTATTTAAACTATAAAGATATGTTAACCTGATAGCTAAGTACCATAATTGTCATACACAGTTATTGTAGTAATTGTGGACTATATGTCCTAGGCCAGCATTGACTAGAAATAGAATTGACAAAGTAATGACAGGAACAACAAGAACGATTTCTACTGAAAAAAAACACGTCAGCTTGTTTATCACAGAAAAAAACATCTCTCAGAGCAGTTACCTGTGTAATGGTGTCAAAGTCGGTCCCAGGTCAAGTATCATTTTACATTGGTCATCATTAATGCAGAGGATTTTGGTAACAATGTCTAGACATTACTCATTTTCTATTAATGCCACCTTTATACAGATCATTATCTAGCAATATATAAATAACATGGCAAATTGAAACATTGAACTATATTTATGTTATCTTTGCATGAGCAGCAAGATGGTGGAATATTTATGCTCAACCAATTGATTACTGTAGACAAAGGGAAATGACTCCTTTAAAAAGCATGGGCCATAAGGCAAGGGCAGGCAGAAATCCCATTCTTCGTGAGACTGGCATCTACTGTATGTCCACCTTCAAACTGGCCAGAAAGTTGAAGAAATAACATGGAGCTTTTCTTTTCAATGAAATTTGTCATCTGAATATTTAGCATCTTATATCTTTATCAAGGTACACTAAAGATAATTCATACTGTTATTTCATTTTCACCTAGTTGTAGTTTTACGCATAAAAAAGGAAATCTGCTCCAGATTGTAAAAATCAGCATTTCTCAAAAGCTAAAAAAAAGCATGCCAGGCTGCATATAGATTCTGAAGGAATAGTTAAAACTAAGCTAAACTTGAAACTAAAAATGTCCAGCTGCCAACCAGCTGTATGGTTACTAGATTTAATTAGGAATATAGAAAAAAAAATTGAGTTTATCAACAAGTATTTACTTGTATTATCTAGTAATGCTGTAATCCCACCTCATACAAGATGGTATCAAAATGCTTTCCAAAAGAGATTCTATGTTAAAGAGGTCTGTTTTACCCAGTTCATTTAGTGACCACATACAAAGGGGACATAAAAAATCTAAAGATGTCTCAAAATTTTTAAATTGTGATTTTTTTTTTTTAAGAAATGTATCCTACTAGGGATGTACCCAAATATCGGCAGCTGAAATATATCGGCCAAAAATAGTGTAATCGGCATTTTGCCGATAGGAATAAAGGTGCCGATAATGACCACCAAAAACATTTGATTTTACCTGCAATTTTACCACATTTAGGGTGGCTTTTGTCATAGGTCATGTGCAACATCTATGCATTTTTGATGGGTTTTCAATGCTTTTCAGGCCTGGTTTACACCAGTGCAGTCTGTGTTTTGTCTGTTTTGCAGTGCATTTTGCATGCGCATTTTTGATGCATTTTTTTATGCGTTTTGCATTTTTTTAATGGGGTTTTTTTGCAAACTTGCTGCTGGGCAGATTAACCACTTACCCTACTGAGATTTACCCCCCCTTCCTGACCAGGCTATTTTTGCGTTGTGGCACTACGTTACTTTAACTGACAATTGCGCGGTCATGCAATGCTGCACCCAAATTAAATTTACGTCCTTTTTTCCCATGAATTGAGCTTTCTTCTGGTGGTATTTGATCGCCTGTTCGTTTTTTATTTTTTGTGCTTTAAAAAAAAGGCCAATGATTTTGAGAAAAAAAACTATATTTTGGACTTTTTGCTATTAAACATGTCCAGTAAAAAAATTTAAAAAATCTAATTTCATCATAAATGTATGCCAAAATGTATTCTGCTCCATGTCTTTGCTAAAAGAAAATCCCAATATGTGTAAATTAATTGGTTTAAGTGACAGTTATAGCATTTTCAAATGGCGGTATAGATATTGAGATTTTTATTTCTACTAGTAATGGCGGCGATCAGCGACTTTTTGCGGGACTTAGGCGGACATTCTGACACTGGAGGGAACTGACTTGGTGTCACTGACATCCCAAGTGACACCAATACAGTGATCAGTGCTAAAAAAAAGCACTGACACTGTACTAATGCACTGGGCAGGAAGGGGTTAATATGAGGGGCGATCAAAGGGTTAACTATGTGTAGGGAGTGTTTTACTAGGGGGGGGGTGCCTCACTGTAAGCACACTGCTCTGGAAGGCTGTGCACAGCCATCTAGAGCAGTGTGCCTGAGCTGACAGGGAGGAAGACTGTTTGTAATTAAAACAGTTTTCCTCCGTGTCGGAGATGCTCGGTAATCACCGGGCGCCAGCGGTTAATTACTGGGCAGGACCTGGTGCTTGACAGCTGTGGCCGTGAATGGCGGCGCAGGTAGGGCGTGCACGCGGCTTGTAAGTGCCCCCTACCTGGAAATGCAAAATCACGTATATATACACGTGATTTTGCGCACCCCTGCTGCCCTGTAGCAGCATATCTGCTCTAGGGTGGCGGGGAAGCAGTTAAAAACACAAAATGAATAAAAAACCGCAACACATGCATTTTTTATGTTTTCAATGCATTTCAGGCCTGGTTCACACCAATGCAGTTTGCGATTTGTCAGTTTTGCAGCACGTTTTTGCACGCACATTTTATATGCGTGTTTTTATGCACTTTGCATTGTTTGAATTTGTTTTGGACAACTTATTGCTGGGCAGATTAAAAACGCAAAATGCATCAAAAACACAACATGTGTGCATTTTTTTATGTGTTTTCAATGGATTTCAGGACTGGTTCACACCAATACAGTTTGTGTTTTGTCCATTTTGCTGTGCTTTTTGCAGTGCATTTTGTGTTTTGCATGCACGTTTTTGACGCTTTTTTATGTGTTTTGTTTTTTTAATGTTTTTTTTTGGCCAACCTGTTGCTGGACACATTAAAAACACAAACGCATAAAAAACGCAACATGTGTGTGTTTTTGCTGCGTTTTCAATGCATTTCAGGCCTGGTTGACACAAATGCAGTGTGCGGTTTTGTCCATTTTGCAGTGTGTATTTGCACACACATTTTTGAAGCGTTTTGCATTTTTGAATTTTTTGTTTGTTTTTTTTAATATATATGTGTGTTTTTACTGGGTATTACTGTATTGGTAAGCACTTTATTGTGTGAGACACATTGAAATGTCTGCCCCTTATTACTGTTTGAATTCACCATTTATTTCATCTTAAATAGGCTCTTCAGTTCCCCTTGCCCCCCCCAAAAAAAAATACTGTAGCTGGTGACTTTAAATAAAAGGACACTCACCTGTCTTAGGATCTAGCACTGTCCTCACCTGGATCTGCAACTCCTTGGAGCCTCAGCCATTCCCCCCCACTACACATGCACAAACCACACATGACGTGTCCCAAGAGGCTGCAGGCAGGGGGGGAGGCAAATTTTGCTTGGATCATGCGGGGATCTGGGAGAAAGTGGGAGTGGATACCAGTCAAAATCAGGTACCCCCCCCCCCCCCAAAAAAAAGTGAAAAGGGTTCAAAAGTTGAAGGAGGGAGGGGGGCGGAAAAGCGGAACTTCCCTTTAGGGGCAAAGTTCTGGTTTAAATGAAAAGACTGGCAACAGGGACCCTTTGACTGGGGGCCATCTTTTGCCTTTTGCTGTACCAAGCCAAGCATATGCCAACATGTGCTAACATGGACCATAGTAACCCATCATCTCATAAATATAACAAACTCACAAACATACTGTATTTGATTCATCTTCAGTGATTCCGTGCTGGGAAGTAATCAGGTAATTACTCTCTATAGGTAAGCACCCCCTCTATATCAGAAGCACCCAGCTACCATTAACTGTAATCCCCATTTGGTTTTGTGTTTTGATGGCAGCAATAGGTTCAGGTCTACATTGGAGGTTCAGTGGTGCTTTATAGGTGTAAAATGACAGTTACCTTTGACCAGGCAACAAGTTAAAATAATTAAGCTACTAATGCACTTCAGAAAATACTGCAACTGCGCTAAAAGTCAAAATAATCAGAAAATGTACTTTAATCAGAACTCTCATATTGCAGCCAGAATCAAGAGAGCATCTCATGGGTAAACTGCAAGTCAACATTCTGAAGCCTGAGCTGTGTAACTTCCTCTTTCTCCTCTATCACAAACCACATTTTTATTTATTATAGGTTTTTTTATAGCGCTGACAGTTTGCACAGTGCTTTACATATTGTGCATTCACTTCAGTCCCTGCCCCTGATGGGTTTATAATCTAAGGTCCCAATCTCACATGCATACATACACGCACACACATACTAGTGCTAGTTTAGACAGGAGACAAGCGTGTCTTTGGAGTGTGGGAGGAAACTGGAGTAACTGGAGGAAACCCACAGAAGCAAAGGGAGAACATGCAAACTCCAGGTTCAAATCTTATACTGAGTACTGACACTTTTTTACATCAGTGTATCTGTATATGAGATACAGCCAAGGCCAGTGCTTCCATTAGACAAACTAGGTAGCGCACTGCTACCCAGGGGCATCTGGGCACAGCACAGGCCAGCACTCTTTATGCATGGGATGCCACCACATCATGCATGATCCTTCAGTTGAGGAGAGGTGTGGCAAAGGGGATGAAAAAAGGACAGAGGAAAATGCCGGGTGTCTGAGGCCAGTGTAGCAGCTGAGCTGCCACTCCTTCCAGTGTTTCTCTCAGACTAAGTCCCTTACTGCAAGCCGGTTGGTGGCTGCTGATCACTGCAGAGTTCCAACCCTTCTCTTCCCATTCATCAGCAGAAGCAGAACTACGCCTGCATAGGAAGGTCTGACTTTGATGTCTCGCGTCTATGTGTTTGACCTGGTTGGTCATCCATCACATGTGCAATGTGTCAGTGAGTGATGACATCATTGCAATCCCACAGCCTGCTCTTCCAATGCCTACTGAGCCTGCTGATCTGTGTCAGTGTTGGTGGTAGTGTGTTGGGTCGGATCTGTCACTGTGTAGAATTGCTCAGTTCAGGTGTTCTCTGTGTGTGTGTGTGTGGGCTGGGCTGCCTGCTGTCACAGAGTTTTATCTCCCCTCCTGGGGAATTCCAGCCTGGGATCTGTCAGAGTGTGGATCCATCATCCTCCACTCACTGCAACTGTCACCCTGCCACTGCCAGCCACAGATACAGTCCGTCCGTGACACTGATTTTGTCTTTAATATTGGTGCTGGTGGGATCTTATGGCACTTATTTTTGAAAATGTAAAGAGATTTAGCAGTTTCATGTTTTGTTGTTTCAATATTTTCTACTGTTTTTGAAAATTTGTATTTAATTTTTTTTTTTTGTGTGTGGGGCGCAAGTATCTGGTCTTGTCTGGGCACAAAATAGTCTAGCCCCGGCCCTGGATACAGCAAGCAGCCTGCAGTGAGTATGTCTAGGAATACCTCCCATACATTACAAGAACAAGGCAATGAACATGTTAGTTTAGCTATCCCAGGAAGTAGAACTAACAATGTGAAGTGCTGTCTATAATTGTGATTCAATCCAAACATCCAATTCGTGACTTAATTGTCCTAATTCATTTGTAGCACTGCAATAGCAATGGAAAGGTCGCAAGCTGTATACTTACAGTAAAAGGTGATACGTACATGTGAGGTTTGCTAATGCACTTGTAATCTACTTATATGGCACACATGGGATGTTTTGGCTTCCTATAGGAGTCATTGAAAAGAGCCAGAAATCATTAAGACCAGGTCATGTAAAGGTTTGGTGCCCTTCAGGGAAAGTAGAAATTTATCTATAACAATTAATGAGTTGCTGCACAGCCACAGTCAATAACATCTTAGAAAATAGACTTCCCCACATTATAGTATAATTCAAACAATCTCTGAGTTCTGCTTTCATCTTCAGTATGGTGTTTGAGCAGATACAAAGTTCTACATTTAAGTCCTCATGCACACTGGATGTTTTAACAGCGGCTGTTTTTTGGCGTTTGACGTTTTTTTTTCTACATTCAATAAACTTCCCCAGCATGTTATCCTATGTGTCCATGCACACATAGACTGTAATCAACTTTTTTGGCTGGGACATTTTTTGGCAGGAAAAAAAACCCCAAAACTAGTGGGTTTTTAGAGGAGTTTCTTAGCTGTAAAAATGCTCTCTAACACTGAAAAACGCTGTAAAAACGCCGCAACGCGGCATTTTTGAACTTTTTTTTGTAAAATAAACCCACTAAAATACACAAACAAGGAAAAACTCGGGAAAACGCCGCTATTTGCAGCAAAACACCGCTAAACGCTAATGCTAAAAAAGCTGAAAAACATATTTTTTTAACATGACTTTACACAGCTAACGTTACCAGCATTATCAAAACGTCAAGTCTGCATGAGGACTAAATGTATTTAAAATCAGCCTTTTTCCTGCAATAAAATATAAAACTGCAGCAGGAAAGAAAAGCAGGCACCCTCCAGTGCCTATAGTTATCTCTCAATGTTTTCTTGAGAACCCTGATATGCTCAAACTCTGGGTGCCCTGATAGGAAAATATCAGCTTTGGTAATTTGATGGTTTATCTCTCATACCTAACTGTAGGTTATTGAGCCCAACCAATACACTTAAAATGTTACTAAACCCACAACAGTAAAATCAGTGTGTATATGCAGTAAAGCATGCTTGTTATACTCACTGTGCAACCTAAGGGGTTAATCCTCCACATTGTGTAAAAACGCTGTTTGATCCTGTCTTCTCTGACCCTCCCCTTCTTCCAGTACCCCCCTCTTATCTCCTGATAAGACATATCGTGTAAGTCACTCTGCAAATGCTCAGTTTAGTGTGTATTGCTAGAGAGTTTTTTTTTTTTCTTGGGAGAGTGCATGTGATCAGCACAGGGCCAATCAGCACTGTCCAGACAGAGGTCAGGGGTTCTGCATCCTCCTAGAGCAAAATGAAAACTCCTACTACAAGCTTTAACCAGTGCTCAGCTGAACATTGATATATGTTACAAGACTGCTCTAACTGCTGATGAGAAAAGGTATTTTGCTGTTTATATTTACTAAAATAATTGCATTTCCATGTTGTGTGTACTGTGGGAGACCAGATATAGTGAATGCGGGGTCCTGGTTTTAGTAACACTTTAAGGACCAATGCCTAGGTACAAGCTGAGGTCGACTGGGTCTCCTCTTTGATTTTCAAAATCAGTACTTGCATTTGAGTTCCCTGATTTCAGGAACCTAGGGTACATGAGAAGAAACTGAAGTTAAGTTTTTCCAACTTGTTGCAGGCTTACACGTTTTATCCA